ACACACACACACACACACACACACACACACACACACACACAGACACCCCACCTGGACATCCTCTTCCAGTCGAAGGTCTTTTGGCGCAAGGTGACGGGTGAGTCGTCAGGGGCCCTCACTGCCGGGGTGGCTGTGCTCTGAGTGAGGCAGGGTGTGGTCAGCACACAGCAGAGACCATCAGCCACCTCTGAGGAGGGAAGCAGACAGCTGGTCAGTGACTCTGAGATGCCACAGCCAGTGTGGGGTACAGGGCCCCAGGGACCACCCACTATAGCTCCCTGGTTATTCCCATGGGGAAACTGAAGCTGAGATGTGAAAGGGGCGTGGCAGGGCTGAGAGCCATGCGCCCAGCTATTTCGGAAATGTTAACATGCCCTGAATACCCACCGTGCTTAGGCGGGCACAGGCACAGAGTAGAGCTTAGGATCTGAAATCACCCCAACTTGGGTTTGAATTTCACTCTAGTGAATTGCTTTGAACCTCTCTGAGCCTCAGTTTCCTCAGCTGCAAAGTGAAGGGAATTGAGCTAACGAATGAGAATAGCTGGCAGAGTGCCCACATGAGGCCCCAGGCTCAGTGGCTTCTCACTAAGGCACAGTTCGATCGATTTTGGGGGGTGAACCTCTTGTGTGTAAGGGGGTTCTGTGTACAATGCTGATTTCCCCAAAGCACACAGCAGCATTTAATACAGCACAGTGGGCTAGATACATTCGCAGGAAGAAAGGAAGATAAAAGAAACAGTGGAAGAATACAGGGAAGGAAGGGAGAGAGGAATACAGGAGGAAGGAAGGAAGGAAGAGAAGGGAAGGAGAGAGAGGGATAAAGAGGAGAGGAAGGAGTAAAAGACCCAGAAAAAGAACGAGGAGAAAAACAAGGACTTTAAGGCAAAAGAGAGAAAGTGGACGAAGAAAAGAATGAAACAGAAACCTCTTCTCTTTACCCTGGACACTCATGCACCAAGAGAATGAAAATTAAATCTGTTTCTCTCCTCTCAGCTGCTATCAAGTATCTGAACTTGCAGGGACCCCTTCTTTCCGAGAGCATGAAGACCTAGCTTCCATCTCTCAGGAGCCTCCTC